AGTAAAATGCTTTTTGAATTATTAAAATCGGACGCTCCGTTCTCTTAAAAGCTGAGTTACCGTTTTTTGCACTTTTTGCCCCGTATCTTCGGAACGGCTAGACCTGGCTTTGCCAAAAATTAATCAGCACGTCTCCTTTTCAATACGAATCGAATGTTTCTTGAATTATTCAAATCGCTTTATCCGTGTTCCCGAAATCGTCGACGAAAATTTGTATCCGAACATACATACATACACGCACATACACATACATCCATTTTTTTTAAGGTATGCCAAAATGTTCAGAAACCTTCGAAACGTAAAGATCTATCTAGCTTTCAAATTAATTATATCTTTCTGCTTAATTATGTCTAACTTCTCCTTTCATAACTATTTTTTTTAAATATAAAATTCATGCATTCTTTCAATTTTACACTTTCTTCTATATTGATTATATATTGAAGCTTTCTAATTTTGCTCGTCAGTAGAGTCGCTTTTTGTTCTAATAATTTAAAAAAAAAAATGCAATATTTTGCACAAATTTAATTGCTCGTCAGTCGAGTTCTTTTTTTGTACTAACATTTATTTAAACGTTTCGCATGAATATTTTGCACAAATTTAATTTGTAAATCAGTAAAGTCATTTTTGAAACCTTTCTTTTTAATGCACATATTTAATTTGCTCGGCAATAGTGTCCTTTTTGCTTTGACATTTATTTTCTTTTCAACATTTTTGTCAGTAGGGTCCCATTTTGTCTTAATATTTATTTAAATGTTTAACGTTAATATTTTGTATTACATTTTAAGACTATTTTGCCTTACTTTTAAGTTTGCTTCTCAGTAGAGTTCTTTTTAACTTCGAATCGCTAATTTTATGTTTTCTCGACGTTTCAAGCCATTCTGAATCGAATGAGACCAAATTTGGAAAAAGTATATGTGTGTGTGTGTGAACACATTTTTTGCCGTAAATCGACGTTTTCTCGAAAACGGCTGGGCCGATTTTAAAAATTTAAAAGCCATTCGATGTATCTCGACGAGAACTATTGTTTGTCAGTTTTGTGCGACGATCGCCCAAGCCGTTTCTTTATAAATCGCAGAAAAGTGAAAAAAATTTCATCCACGTTTTAGCCCGCAATTTTGAATCGATTTTGAAAATTCAAAAACCGTTCGAAAGATATTGGTTAGGAATCGTGCTGATTAGTTTTTGGTAGAGATCGGCCGGGCCGTTTTCTTGTAATAAGGTGTTAAAATAATTTTTTTGACCATAGTCTTTTAGATCATACTAAAATATTACGGCCCTAAGACACCTCATTTAGCTTTAAAAATTCATCAAAGTTTACAAAAATTAGTATGGTCTTTTTGGCATTTGTCATTTCATCGACGTTTGCTCAAAAACAACTGAACCGATCTCAGAAATTTAAAAACCATTTGATGTGTCTCAATGAGGACTATCGCTTGTCAGTTTTCTGCCAAGCCGCTTCTTTGAAATTTGTTAAAAACTGTTAAACTTTTCGTCCACATTTAAGCACAAACTACCGAATCGATTTTAAAAAATCAAAAACTGTTCGAAAGATATTAGTTGAAAATGATACTGATTAGTTTTAGGTGAAAATCTACCTAATCTAATCTTGTAATTAACTGTTGAAAAAAAAAATTAAAGCCGATTTTTATGGATTTTTTTTTAGCTATATATACCTTGGTCTTATAGAACTTACTAAAATATTACGGCCTTATGACAAGTAGTTTAAATTTAAAAATTAATCAAAGATTAAGAAAATGAGTAGTTTTTTTGACGTTTGTTAAAATTAAAATTAGACGATTTACTTGGTACAACGATAGAGTACTTGGTATTAATGAACATACTAAATAATTAAAGTCCTACATAAAACTGGCTCAATTCTAAAAATTATTGATTTTTGAAAATTTGCTTTTAGAAAAAAACTCTGATTAACGTGTTCGTTCGTTTCCGATTATGTGTAATAAATCCACTCGGAATACTTTTAATGACTCATAAATTATTTGTATTTTTATTGATTAAGTCGATTATTTACACATATCGGCAAGTTCATGTAACTTGCCTCAAGGCAAAATACTAAACCAACTAGTTATACTTTTTTACTAACTAAGACTTATTAATTTGTACTTTCTTCTTTTGTGCTTCAAGAATTAAACTTTCTTCTAATTTTTCTGGGCCTGCCTTTGCAAAAAACTAATGACCACTTCTCCCAATCATTACTAATTGACTGTTTTTTAGATCATTGAAGTCGGATACTCCGTTCTCTCAAAAAGTCGATTTCTATTTTCTGCACTCTTTGCTCCGTATCTCCAAAACGGCTGGACCTGCCTTCGCCAAAAACTAATCAGCTCTGTTCCCCATCAATAGGAATCGAATGTTTTTTGAATCATTCAAATCGGTTGATCCGTGCGCCCGAAAACGTGACTGGAAATTTGTATCCATACATACATACATACACATCCATTTTTTCTGAAGTATGCCAAAACGTTCAGAAACCTTCAAAACGTTGAGAAATGTAAAAATTTTCAATTTCGATTTTCGGCCTATTTCAATAACTTATCCTACGGGAAGTTAAAAATACATTAATTTTTAAATATTTCCGATTAAAGCTTCTTTTGTGCTTTCTTTGAGAATTAAACTTTCTTCCAATTTTCCATACTTTCTTACTAACTAACAGTAAGACTTTTTAATTCAAACTTTCTAATTTCAGGTCAGGATTTGATAGACGCACATCGAAATTCCCAGCTGTTTGGGATGACACGATACACACCACTTTGGAACCAAAAATCGAACCCATTTATGACAGGCGCACAAGCACCACCTATGAACCAACCACAAGCACCACATTCGAACCAAGTGCGACCACTAGATCACCGTTCACCTACATACCGACTGTACCAACAGTCTCCGACTTTCCCACAACGTTTCAACCCGAACTGAGCACCTTCACCACCGGTTTAACGAGACAAGGTAAAGCCCTGGCATCAGTCGAGGTGATGGAAAAGCGTGCACAAGAAATGTTGGTAAACTAAACGCAAGCACTGCAAACACTTTAATGAACGTTATGAAGCATGCTGATTCTAATACCACAGTAAGACGTTTGATACTCTTGTTAGTACAAACTTGCGACGAAGACATAGACAAGACCGTCGAGGAGTCACGTGCTGCATTATTAGACGCCTTAATCAGCATGCCTGTCGAGGACAAAAACTTAGACGCTTTTAAAAAGAATTCCAAAACATTTATACACGAAACGTTGGAACCACAGGAAACCATAAACCACCGTAAAGGTAAATCTTTAAATTTCCTTACAGACGTTAATAGCATTACAGACACCAAGCAAACTTCATCTACTACGATTATACCTGAAACTACTACTACGACGACTGCAGCGCCAACCACGACCACAGAGCCATCTTTTACCGAGAGTCCTTCACCGCCATCTGTGACGACGTACAGGAGCAAAACGCATAGGAAGTTTATAGTGCATGCGATAGATGGCGGTAGCATTAATTCTAATGAGAGTTTTGAGGAAAATGGTAGACATAATAGTTCTGATTCGCGTGCTTTGGAGCTTCTAAGATCTTTGTATAGTTTGGCGGCTAAATGGGGATAATTTTGGAGGTTTTGAGAGGTAATTGTGTTTTTTTTGTTTTGTAGTAGAAGAGTTTGAGGTTTTGAATGGACTAATTGGTAAAGA